TAAAATGACCAGATATTTTTTTTTAAAAACAACCCATGAGAGTCAAGATGGTATCGCTAATAAGGTGTCGAACTAGGAACAGTACCTCTAGTTCTAGTTTAGAACTTGGAAATTAATAATTAATAAATTTTCTGTCAGCCCAACATATCTCACTGATTTGTTGTTGTTGGGAAAAATAGGTCCTGTACTGATTTTAAATGCAAGTGCATATCCAGCACCAACAAGGCAATGTATAATTTTTTACCCACCAACATGGTTGTGTGTCATAAAATAGTGATAAAAGTTACTATTTTTTAAACTCCTAAATATTGTAATCTGTACCTGACCACATCCCTTCTACAGAATTAAAAATATTGAAAAATGTAGGGAAAAAATAACCTCCAGTACCTGTCTGTCTACAATTTTTCTGCACGATTTACTTACTTTAAAATATAAGTTTTAATGAAGTCATTTTCTGGCAGCTGTTTGTGAAATTGCAGTTCCTTTCCTAGACTTTTGCTGATAGGTTTCTATCCCTGATTGGCAAGTACTTATTTTTCCTGCATTTTAATGGATTTTCAAAAAATCTTGTAGAGAATAGTCTATGATTAAAAATAAAGAGGTATAAAACAACAGTTAAAAGACAATACTTATAAAAAAAATTGTGTAGAATCATTAAGAATAGATTTGAGGGAACTATTTCAACAATTTAAGATTTGATGTAAGATGCCTTTACATAATCTTAGAACTATAGAATTCTGAGGTTCAGGTTTTGTTTTGAATATCAGTATAGAATGGGTTTCAGAATCCCTCAAATATATCCTTCTCAACCTTGGCAACTTTAAAATGAATGGATGTCAACTGCCAGAATTCTCCTACATGCTGGCTGGAGTTGAAGTTGCCATGGTTATAAAAAAGGTTGAATATAACAATTATCGGTTAAACCCAAGTTGCTTCTGTGGTGATTATGGCAAGGAAAGTTTCACCAACCAGTTTGTAATAATGATTGTAAAACAAGAGATTCAAGATACTTTATGAATCTTCATCACAAAAACCAGCCAGAAGTCCATGAATAGTTTGAAAAATATTTTTGCTGGTCAACTGTAAAAAGGAAGGAATTGTGACAAAAGTTGGTGATATTGCAAGACCCTGTGCTTGTTCATTTTGCCAGTATAGGGAGACACAAAGTTCCTTCTGCAACAACAAAATGAAGACCATACCTTCATGGCTTGAACATTTACATTAAGAAAAAAATCATTTGCAGTATCCTTCCTGCAAATTAGCTGTAGTCAGCTATGATCAAACTGTTGCTAACCCAAAGGAATTGAGTGAATCAATGATTAGTACATTACAAGTATCAGGTTGCTCTGATTGAGGATATTGAAACAAGGAAACTATGATTGATTTCCATGGGGAAGGGGAATATCTCCTTATGGGTGTAGAATTCAGAAGCCCTTGGCTTTGCAGAAAAGAAATTAAAACAAACATGAATGCTTCCCATTTTAACTATGATTTAACCAGTTAACCCCAACTATATGGGTTTTCATAGCAACTGAACGAGAAAATGAGCCATATGGAAGGGGTTCAAACTAAAATTTAGATAGCTTGTTACTGTGGTTTAAGGTGCCATACAAACAAGGCCATTGCTGGTCTTCATATTTAAAGTTGAAT